ACATGTTAGATGTTCCTGGATCGGGTACCTTTTATTCGTAGAGTTGCTTACAAAATAATGAGATATTAAGGGACATGTTTTGCATCTACTGGACAAACATGGAGCACTTCTTAAACCTGGAGGTACTTCGGCATAAAGTCTGTTTTTAGCTGCCAACTGTGCTAAGGTGGAATTTTTAATGTTTCGTAAAAATCGTTTAGAGTACCCACGCTCTTTCAGTTTTGAGAAAACAATCGTACAGGCTTGGTTGAAATCAGAAGATCTTGTACAAATTCGATGAAATCGTAAAACTTGTGACTTAATTATACCAGAAAAGGTATGTTTTGGGTGAAAGGAGCTCTTGTGCAAGAGTTGATGAGTATCAGTTTCTTTGAAATACACTTTAATATCCAGTTTATTTGTTTCTGCTATGGAATCTCCCTTAAAGACTGTGGTATCGAGAAAGTCTATGCTTTTGTCACTCACGTTTGCGGTTAGTTTGATAGAAGGATGGTGGTTGTTGAGAATTTCAAAGAATTCCCAAAACTGTTCGATAGAATAAGTCCAAACCATAAAAATGTCATCCAAAAAGCGTCCGTAAAAAGTGGGTCAAATGGACAGAGGGGCAACACCTCACGTTCCCACTCTGCATCAATCCATCTGTCCAGACAAGATCGAAAGCTTTCGTTAGGTCTACGAACACTGCACAGAGGAACCCAGAACTGTTCAATGTCTTAGACATTGCGTGTTGTAGCATAACTATCTGATCCGCCATAGATCTGAGCTTTCTGAACCCACTTTGATTCTTGTCTAGAAAATTATTACTTTCTAAGTAATACCGAAGACGATGTGTTACCATCGTTTCGAGGATTTTGCATAACGTGGATGTCAGGCTGACGGGTCTGTAAGACTCCGTTTTATTGGGATCTTTCCCTGCCTTTAAGATAGGTATAATGGATGCCGTCTTCCATTTTGTCGGTACGTGGCCATTGGTCCAAGATTCGTTAAAGAAATCCAGTAGGATTTTCGAAGCTTCGGGGGGCAATTTCTTCAACATCGAGTACTTGACTTCATCCTCCCCAGCTGCACTGTCTTTTTTAGACGAGAGAGCTTTCTGAAGTTCATCAGACGTGAAAGGGAGATTCAGTGGATTGTTTTCATCTATGTTCGTCAACACATTGGAATGGTCCACTGCGAAGTTAGTTTTTCGATTCATGAATTCATGGTCTCGGTTCAGTTCTGGGTTTAATTTAAAGATTTCAATGGCTTTCCTTATCTCTCTGATGTGCTTGTGGGGGATATTCATAGCAAGAATATTTGTTTGGTCTCATTCTATAGTGTGGTTATTGTGGTTTACTTTGTACTCTGCAACCTCACTGCCTATGTCTTGGGTGTTTGTTTTGGTTTTGTGCTGAGCAATTCTGACTATTGATTATTCAGTTTACGTTACCAGTGTAAGGTACAAACTGCTACCACAGGGCTATTTACCAATCTTCTTTTTTATTGTTCCGACGGTATAGGATCGGGTATTTATACTCCGACGGTCCGCTTAGTCCGTCTAGGGCCTGATAAAGACTTCTATTGGTAAAATAACCCCGTATAGCCGCCGATGCGAGTGGATTTAAAACACACTTAAAAACCACACTAGCATCGCCATATTTTGAGTTTCCGGAAATAGTCCGAATACTTTGATTTTGTCAAAATTTACCTTACCTTATTTTTTTTTCCTTTTTTCTTTTTTTCTTAAAACATAATAATTGTTATAATTTTTCACATCATTGTTAGCGTTATTTATCACCTAAATATATATTTTTGCATTTTTTCATCATAACTTCCATCTTACTTCATATATCCCCAAACCCAGTTTGACTTATTTGCATAATTTGATCCCAACATTTTCACGCTAGCATATACAGTTTCCTCCTGTTACATCCGCTGTACATTCCCTTCTAACCTCAAGTTATTTTCATTATGCTCCCCAACTACAACAACCACTGGCAAGAAGCCAGACATAGAAACACTAATCGTCAACCAAACGTACCCTACAACGGCCCTGTCTTCCATCGACCTCTACCACCTACCAATCGCCGACCACCAACCAACCCATCCAGCTATATCCCACCCCATCGCCGACCTCCCTACAACACAGCCTACCAATCAAGAGGTAGCCATCGACCTGACCAACAACAGAAACGACTACCAGCCCACCGACGCCAAGCAGTCCCCACTCATAAGGAGGAAGAACCCTTTGTGAAGGTGTTCTTCCAAGTTTTGCAGTGCCTCCATCATTTGGCAATCCTTACCCTTCAACAGCAAGGCCAACCAGCGTTTACCTTCAAACGCAAAGTCTCTGAGTTGGATAGTTTTACCCGTCCAGCAATGAAAATATCAGCTGTCGACGAGAATATTAGATCCCTCAATCGGACATGGCTCTGTAAGGTTATGCAGGTCCTGATCGACCATTACCAAACCACACTTCAAGAGAAGCTGACCACCATTCGTACCAAGTCTTTATCATCACCTGCCGTCGACCGCATCGTTTCTCATGCCCTGTCCTGGGCCCGTCGCTCCTATGGGAAACGTCTCACTCAAGCTGTAATCACCAAATTCTACCAAACAATCAACGAAACGAAAACCAGAGTAACCATATCTCTACCAACTGAAATGGACACTACACCTGCATCATCTAGAGCCACCACGCTGCCGAACCAAACCCCTAAACGAGCTCCTAGTCCAGCAGACATAGGTAAACGCTCTCGTAGAGAGGGCACTCCCCTTCTCTTTTCACTTTCAGACTCGTCTTCCCCTTCCACACCATCAGAATCTTCACTACGTGATCCAGGATCCGCCAACCTTTCTTCCTTCTGTGCGTTTTTGGACCAGCAAACCACCCCTCAGTCTCCATCCAAGTCGAGACGTGTATCCAGACCTTCCCCCCCTCGAACCAGATCCCAGTCCGTTCCCAATGCTACAATTCTAACAACTACCAAACCAGTACCAATCACACCGTCGACGACCATTATATCCGCTACCAAACCGTATTATCACCAACCAAGGACAAATCATTATGGAAGCTACCTGCTCTAAAGAAATCTACCTTAATAATTGGATCATCTAACCTGAATCGAATTACCAAAACCAGTTCAGACACCGAAATACATTCTTACCCCGGTGCCCAAATCCATCACATACAGTCAATCCTGGAATCATACGACCATGATCCCAAACCTACTACCATTATTCTTCATGTAGGCCTCAACAACCGCGATCAGCTACCAAAGACCTCCTTTAACCAAGCCCAGAAATTAATCGCCACAGCCAACAAAACCTTCCCAAACTCCAAGATCCTCTTCACATGTATACCCATTTCAAATAAAATCTCGAAGAAAGCACAACAGAACCTCAGCACTCTCAACAACATGATGATGGAGTCCAGTATCAACAGCGCAACAATCTTACCACCCTACGAAGAAGAATTCGATAAGTTGATAATCTTCATTGGTCTCCAGAAACAGCAAACAGCATCTATTTGTTTTGGATACACCAGCTTCAAGCATCGAGTAAGTCTTTAAACTAATTACTGGGGATAAAAATACTGAGAGGCCACCGCTAGGGCAAACTGTAGTTAACTTGAGCCGCAAAATTCCCACACCCCTTGAGCATTCAATCTTAGACCGTGGGCTTAAGTTTATTCCCACACCAAAGATAACTAACTTGAATTATCTCCGACCATCCATTGAACGATTTCAACGAAATCTTAGCTGCACATATTTTTTTCGAAACCACCCCACGTGGTGCTAGAACAATGTTTATTCCTAAATCCACGTGGACACCCCCTCAGGCCGCCATCCATCCTGAAATATTGAAAGCATTTGCGAGTATGAATAGCCAAACAGTGAACCTTTCCATAACACGAAAAGCCTGATCTCACACGAATGGAACGTGAAGCGTTAAACTTACTTAAGAAAGACGATAGCATTGTTATTAAAAAGAGTGACAAAGGTTCATGTTGTGTCATTCTGAATAGGGAGGATTACGTTTCAGAAGCAGAGAATCAACTGAATAATCCTAAACATTATGCCATTTTACCAAAACCAATTTTCAAAGAAACTGCTAACATGATTAATAATATTCTTGCCGATTTAATCAAAACTAGTTATCTCAAACAGAAACAATATGGCTATCTGTCTGCCAAACCTGATTGTCGCGAGAGACATTTGTACACTTTACCTAAAATCCATAAGAATCCAACCAAGGAGTGGTTTATCTCGAATAAAATCCCTAAAGGCCACCCGATTATATCTGACTGTGGTAGTGAGTCATATGCAGTGTCAGAATACATTGATCATTTCTTACTACCGCTAGCATGCCAACATCGCGCCTCCCTAAAAGACACAACCGATTTTGTCAATAAAATAAAAAATCTTCGAGTTCCCTCTAATGCCATTTTAATTTCTATCGACGTTTCTTCTATGTATACCAATATCGATAACACTACTGGTTTAACGACAGTTCGTAAAGCTTTTAATAGAAACCCAGATCCAAACAGACCCGACGATACAATTCTACAGCTTTTAGAGATTTCTCTTAACGATTTCACATTTAATGGTAAAACATATTTACAAACTTCAGGGACAGCAATGGGCAAACGAGTCGCCCCTTCGTACGCAAACCTTTTCATGGCAGAGTGGGAACGTGAGGTGTTGCCCCTCTGTCCATTTGACCCACTTTTTTACGGACGCTTTTTGGATGACATTTTTATGGTTTAGACTTATTCTATCGAACAGTTTTGGGAATTCTTTGAAATTCTCAACAACCACCATCTTTCTATCAAACTAACCGCAAACGTGAGTGACAAAAGCATAGACTTTCTCGATACCACAGTCTTTAAGGGAGATTCCATAGTAGAAACAAATAAACTGGATATTAAAGTGTATTTCAAAGAAACTGATACTCATCAACTCTTGCACAAGAGCTCCTTTCACCCAAAACATACCTTTTCTGGTATAATTAAGTCACAAGTTTTACGATTTCATCGAATTTGTACAAGATCTTCTGATTTCAACCAAGCCTGTACGATTGTTTTCTCAAAACTGAAAGAGCGTGGGTACTCTAAACGATTTTTACGAAACATAAAAAATTCCACCTTAGAACAGATAGCAGCTAAAAACAGACTTTATGCCGAAGTACCTCCAGGTTTAAGAAGTGCTCCATGTTTGTCCAGTAGATGCAAAACATGTCCCTTTATATCAGAAACTCATTATTTTGTAAGCAACTCTACGAATAAAAGGTACCCGATCCAGGAACATCTAACACGTGAACATTCGAATGTAATATATTTAATTTCATGCAAGAAATGCTCCAAACAATATGTAGGAGAAACTAAGAATAATTTACGAACTCACTTTAATGCTCATAGGTCAGACATCAAATTAAAGAAAGACAAGCCTGTTTCTAATCATTTCAACCTCGACGACCATTCAATAGACGATCTCGCCCTAATCCCAATTGAGCGTATATAAATTGACTTGCCCGAAGATGAAACTACCAAATTCCGTCAATCTAGGGAAGCCCATTGGATTGAGACATTGAATACAGCAAGACCTATAGGACTAAATATTCATCATAATGTAGGCATAGCACCCTTTGTTGTCCCGTTTAATACAACCAGCAATCGAGCAAGCAAGATAGTTCATGCCCACTATAAGAGCCTTCAAGAGAAATTCCCCCATGTCTATAAGCAGAAAATGATAGTTGCATATTCAAAAAATAAGAACTTAAATGATAATATTGTTCATAGTAAACTAAAAGCAATCAGTACATAACAGATACTATACTTTTTTCTAATTTCAGATCAGAATAAGAACAGAAGAAAACCCAATATCAAGACCCTTAATCCTAATTTCTAAATAAAGTGTCTGCTCCACCCTAGGCATGTACATTTGGGAGAATCAAACCCTCCCTTCCCCGAAATCAAAAACTGTTTCTCTGATCAAGTTTAAATTTTTTTGACAGGTAAAAAACTTGTTTTGTGAATCTCGTTTTATGCTTCTAACTGAAAAGCATAAAATTCGCATATTCGTCGGTTTGCGAGAATGACGACGATTTATATATACACATAATTTATATTTACATTAATATTATATATTTACAATTTATTTATATTTAATCTATCATGATCAGATAGATTTAAGCATTTGTAATAACAAGAATTATAATAATAGAACTAAATGCATACAAATTTGGTTACACAATGAAGATCACATATACCTTTGTTAGATTTTTAATTATTTTTCGACTAAAGGTATATGTGAGTGGTGGATATACTACTTTATATTTTCCATAGTATATCCACCTATCACTTGATCTGAGTGTGGGTGGGTCTGAGGAAAAAAAAAAGAGTAGTATCGCAACAGGTTACGGTTTGTGCATCCCAGCAAAAGGCATCTGTCCACATCACGTTAGTACTCTGGAATCCAGTGTTGCCGGCTGTGTTGCAGTAAATGTACAAAAAGAAAGCAGAATTTAAAGTAAAAGGTATAAACCATTCAATTACCACAGGATATATACGAATGCACACATAAGAAAGCCGATGCAAAGCGATTAAAATCCAATAAAATTTTGGATTGCTAATGGTCGCATAAGCCATTCCGGAAATCAGTGCCCCGATCAACAGGACAGACACTAATATTATGGTATTTTGGTGAAAGAGACACACCCCTGGAGACGGTTCGCTGCTTCCAGAATGTGGGGAATTCTAAGTTCTTGGTGTCATTCTCTAACGAGGGTGACATCAAGAACTTTGAAAACTGGTTCGAATTTGGAGGGGGCAGCGAGCCGTTTAAGGGGGTGAAATACTCCATTGAAAGGGCTATTAAGCTACCACAGTACTCCCGTCCGTCTGACGTACGGATAACCATTTTTGGTATGCCGTACGAAATGGACGGGAAATATGTGCTGACCAAAATTAACCAGTATTTTGTGGCCACCAAGATTACGAGGTGCACGTACCGTAACCACCCCAATATTTATAACGGGGTGTGTTACGTGTACACTAAGAAGCTAAATCAACCCATTCCTACATCTCTGACTATTCAGGGGTGTAGGATTGGTGTTAAATACTAGGACCAGCCTCTACAAACGCTGCTATGTCTGTCGGGAAGAGGGGCATACTGCCAAAGAATGCAGATACTCTCCCCCGCAACCCAACCGTCCGTTCCTACCATTCCAGTCAGCCATTTCAAACCAATCAACGAATCTGGAACTTTCAGCACAACACCTATACTGACTCAATCCTATGGCAAATTGAAACACGATAAGAAAAATAAAGAAATCAACTGAGAATCTCACTAAAACAATAAGAAACAGTACACCTAATGTATCCATTATCCCCCCAGTATCTCCAGCCATTCAAACTACCAATGCCAATGTCTTAGACGAGTGGGCTGATGTCGAAGTCTCGGACTACGACAGAAGTCGGGAGGAATTCGAAAAAAGGTCACAGGCCGAGTCTGCCCCCCAAGGTGCCACTGGGGGCGCAAGACCCAACACCGCTCCACCGACTCCCGTTGCCGAGACGACTCCGAGATCACCACGCTCTGCAAAAGACAAAAAAGCGGGAGAGAGACCGTAGCAGTCTCTTAGAAGAAAGTAAGAAATATAAGGCCGGCAGTGTCCAAAGTCTTAATGACGCCAGCGGCACTGTTGAAACAGTCGCAACAAGAGAGTTCGAAAAATTTTATCCAATAATCAAACAAAGAAAAAGCAAAATAAATTCGACCCAACACTAAATTCTATATATTTATATCTAAATCTATTTTTCAAATTTTAACCATGATCATTACTTCAATTAATATTCACAGAGGGTTCGCCTCAAAATTACATAAGATCTTATTTGATAATAGTGCCGCTGACGTCATTGGACTTCAAGAAACCGGAATTGTCTCTGACGAAGAAATTTCTGACTTAGAGACAATCTCGGACTTCTCACTGATCCGGTCTAATGGCCCGAGTGCCAACACCAGGGGCGTATCTCTACTATATAAAAAACAGCTTACCGTGATACGTATGTTTCCAAATCCAAAATA